GAGGAGGAGGAGGAGATCGGGGAGGGGGCGAGGAGGAGCAGGGGAATAGGAAAAGAGTGACTAGCAACGTCCTAAACCGGGATGCACCCGCGATGATGGCAGCGTAGGACAGGGAGGCCTTGAGCTGACGGAAGATCCTGGACCGAATGCGTTTGCAAGTCGGATCACCTGAGACGTCTTGCGAGGCCGAGAGACCATCCAGCGCTGCCGTTTCCTTGTTCGCCGAGCGATCCGCCAGCCACCACAGAAAGCGCAACGCATCGTCCTGCAAGAGGCCATCAGTGCTGGCGATGATGGGAAGAAAGGCCTTTGGCGGGACGTGCTGAGCATATGCATTACGATGCCCTCGGATCTTCCGCTGTGCTGCCGCTTGCAGTTTGCTCCGAGCAAGGTCCGGTATTCCATCATTGTCAAAAACATGTGACATGCTGAAGTCCAGGATTAACCCATGCCATCCGCCGCCAGTAGCCATCAGTTGTGGAAGTTCAAAGTCCCCTACATGATGATCTTCAGGGCCATGTTGGGAAACGTTCTGCCTGGTGCCGGGTACGCCTTGCACGTGGACGCGGCATCTCACTCCGGAATCTTTGATGAGGGTACTGAGGACGGCATTGCACTTCTCATGCGCATCAGTCCATAACTGGCTGCGGTGCCTGCAGGTTGCCATGTGTGTGGTCCCCCCAGGATGACGAAGAAGATGATGGCATCGATCGCAGTGCGGCGGGAGGTCAACCGGCAATCCATGAAGAAACTTGTCAGCGGCAGCCACCAAGCTGATGGGCTGCTGCTCAAAGATCCCAAGGTTTGTACTTTCCATAGTCGAGTGCCAAATCGTGCGCTGAGGGGTAAACTGAGACAGAAGTTCATCAACCGGGTGGCCTGGTACTCGAAGGGGAGTAGAGAAGCTGGAGTGGTGTGCCAACAAAGATCTCTGGCGCTCTGAAAGGTGAGCCCGAATACTGCGGAACCGGGGAAACTCCGAGAGGAACTGAGCCGTGAGCTCCCGCTGGGCGGGGATGAAAAGCGCACTGCCCGACGTCCCAAATAATTCAGGCGAGGGGATCCAGCCATTGTCGCACGCCTGAGGAAGCTCCGCCAAGGAGGTGTACGCCGAGATGCCCTGCTCCATCAAGTGCCTGTGAGTGTCCAAGAAGGCAGCAAGCATGGGGACAACATCCCCAGCGTCCGCTTGCTGCGGTTGGCGGATTCGAAGCTCAGTGTCAGAAATGATCCGGTGGAAGAGTGGCGGTGTAGGGAAAGTCCAATGCTGGAAGATGGCAATTTCACCCGCCCATTTGAGAAACTTGGCAGTCGCCGACCAGAATGCGGTGTAGGCCACGCCCTCCTGCGGGGTGAACCCATCTCCTCCAGCACTATAAGGCAACTGACGTTTGAAGTAGGCGAACTGAAGGTCAGATGGAGGGGTGCCAGGGGCAGGTTGCAGGACAGATGAACCCTCCTGTGCCTGGTTCTGTGGCCACTGAAACACCTATTGAATAATGGAGTAATGAGCAGACCGATTTTTAAAAAAAGAATTTAAAAAGAAGATATCAAAATTTACTCATGCGCTCCCAGCCTAGTTTATTCAAGCTCGCCTCACCCTAAAGGACGAAGGCAGAAATCGTTTACTATGCCTTCATTCATCGAGCTATGCAGGACGCGTTCGAGGTGTTTGACACGGGTACTTGTTGTTGTATTGGGGTAGATGTCTAGACGGATTCATGGGAAAATGAGGGTGGGGTAGGGTGATTTATGGCGAGGGGTAGGTAGTACCCGCAAGTACCATGGAACGCTGGAAGCATGGCGGTGCTGAGGACGCAAAGAGAAGCAGAGAGGAGGAGGAGGGAGGGAGAGAATGGACTGACGATCCTTAGAGAAGGAAGAGAGATTAAGAAAATGACGGAAAAATCAACGAGAGATGAAGGAATCAAAAGTTGAGCGGGCAGATTGTATGGAAGCGAAGTAGATACAACGGTTGCTTCAATGCCCGATGTCCCGATGGTAACACTGGTAGTCCTCAACGTACGGTTGTCTAGCTTACAATGATGTGCATGCAACCAACCAGGCCTCGAGTCAGAGATAATCTTATACCGCCATCCCGTTGGCTCACTCACTTCCGTCGATGCTGAGTTGTTCCTAAGTTTACTACTTTTCAGCGAAACGCAGGGAAAAAAATGGCCAAACAACGCTTTTGAAGGCTGCTACAAACCGTCAAATGCCGGAAGGTTCTTGGCATATCTGAGATGTTCGTGATGCACAAGTAACTCCGGCCGATAGACGTTTCAGGCCATCAGGCCTCGAGGCTAGAAAAGCGCATTGTCCTGGCGAGGTAGGGATTTACAACCATCCATGCTAAATATTTCCACGTCTTGCTGATGACTTCTTTGATTGGCAGTGCTCAAAAGGACAAGGGGAACGCGTTTTTCAAGGCTGAGAAGTTCGAGGAGGCAGCAGAGGCCTATATCAAAGCTTACAAGTGAGATTCAACGAAATTTTCGATTTGTTTGCACCTCAAACATCATGTTGAATCTTGCTGCTGACTCATAACCCCTTTTGCAATATATCTCTGTGACGAAGACGTTCTTGCTTTCAACTGATTGCTCTTTCAGACTCCTCAACGCCGTCGAGGTGGACGAGGAGCATGAGGCCGAAATAAGGACCATTGCTGTGCAAAGGTGATTGCTGGGGAGGTCTGAAGCCTCTGCTGACTTCGAGTTGCGGAGCTTGACGAACTTGGCCCTGGTCTACCACCGACTCGGGAAGTATCAGGTAGGGGATGCGGTTCCCGGGTGAGGGACGCATGTGAGCGGGAACAGGATGCGGTGAGGGCGTGTGGGGAAGTATTGGAGCTCGACCCACAGAACGAAAAGGCTCTGTTCAGGTTATGCTCGCCGCCCTTGATGCCGATGCTGAGATGCTCGTGCCTGTAGGCGAGGATCCTCGTTGAAGGAACTGGGCAACTTCGATGAGGCGCAAAAGGACATCAAGGCGGTGTGTCCGCCTCCTCCCTCTACCCCTACTCCCTCCGAGCTGATGTGCGCAGGTGCTGAGTCTGAACGGCAAGAATCAAGAAGCGATAAGGCTGCAGAAGGTGCGGATGATTCTCGATCTCATCCCTGGATGATGGTGCTGAAGGAGTGCGTTCGTGCGCGGAAAGAGCACCCCCCGTCCTCGTCCGAGGAGACCGTGTCGAGAGCGTTTGAAGGGATGTTTTCCAAGCAGTCTCTCATCAAATCCGAGGTTCTCAGTGCTCTGTGACACCTCTCAGACTGCTGCATGCGACTTCCTCATGCTGAGTTTTAGCGCATTGCAATTGCAGTGATGTTGTGAGCAGTGGTGATGATTGTGCAAAAACTGTTGCATACACGTTGACGATTCTGTTCTGCTGATGCTGATCGTGACCATGACAACGGTTTCAGCACACCCCTTACGCTGGGCTCCGCAACGAGGGTGCTACCTGCTACCTCAACTCTGTCCTCCAAATCATTTTCCACCTACCAGCGATCAGGTTGCCTTCGATGCTGAGGTCAAAAATTGCTCTGTTTGACATCTCCACGACGTCCAGGAGAGTGATCTTCCAGATCCCAACCTCTCCCAGCGATCGTCCCGAAGCCACGAACAAGGTAGAGCAGCTCCACCTCGAGCGCTTCCTCGCTCCTCACCTGCTCCCTCGCTCCCCGCAGGCTGGCGTCATGTTGGCCCTACAACGCTTGCTCTACCAGATGGAAGTAGATGCGAAGGAGGAGAAGCCGTCGTCGGTAACTGAGGTGAGTTGTGCGCTTGCCGATGCCTGCTCGGGTGACTTTAGGCTCCTGCTCGGCAGCTGATCGCTTCCTTCGGATGGGACTCTAGCGACACCCTCACTCAGCAGGTTCGGCTCTATGGCGAGTCGGCTCTGTCTGAATGCTCGTATCAGGACGTCGGAGAGTTTGTGAATATCTTCCTCGAAACCATTGAGGAGAACATGAAGAACACGCCGGTCAAGGTTGATTTCTCCTTCCCCTCCTTCCCGTCTCTGCCCATATGTCTACCGCCCACCCTGTGTCTCGACGGGCGTATCCAAGTGAAGTCTCTCTAGGGGGAGATCACGAGGCTGTGCGGGCTGGAGCATCGATACTTCGACAGGTGCGTGCGATGATGCATGTGGTAGAGGATGAGGGCGATGATGCATGTGGTAGAGGCTGAAGGAGATGATGCATGTGGTAGAGGCTGAGCTTGTTGACAGGATCCACAAACCCTCGCCGGACTCAGCGAAATGGTTGAAAACTCGAGACGAGCCGCCTCACTGGGTAATGGAGAAGGAGAAGGAGGAGTCAAATTGGGGGGGGGAGGGGGGGGGGGCCTCCCGCTTCTGAGGAGGAGGAGGAGGAGGAGGACTTCCTGCGCCTTCCCATTGAGGATCGATTCCTTGAGGAACAAGTAGCTCTCCTGTAAAATTGCCACAGGCTGTTGTTGACCGTTGGCGATAGGCGTCCAGTTCGGATACATCGAACGACAAGAAGAACATCAGAGAGGCAAGTCAGGTCATGGCGCAAGTAGCCTTTCCTCTGCCAGAGCATCAGCCCTGAGGTAGCGAACAACGCCACGGAGGCGGCGCTGCAGGTCCTGCTCAAGGTATGAAGGAGG